GCAGGTTCTCGGCGTTCTACCGGCAAGGACAAGAATCGATCTACTCCAAACCGGGCCCGGACGCTTACACTTGCATTAACTCCCATATCATTTTTATGTTTGAATTGAACTTTGGACCAACCTATAGATGTTAAATTAAACATTGGTCCTATAGATGTTAAATTAAACATTAAATTGTTGTACATCTATTAATATATAATAAGGATTAACTTAATTCAATTTTAGAAACTATTTCCCGTCAAATTCATTAATTATAGCCTAAAAATAGTAAATTAACATAATTTCCTAAAATTGCTCTTAATTATTTCCGATTAACATTAATTTTTTTATGGAATAAATTTTTTATGGAATAAATCATTTACGCCATTATTTCTGATTTTTATTTATGGAACAAATCATTTTGTGGCTCCATTAACAAAACAACGAGCATTAATTGCACATAATTTCCTAAAATTGCTCTTATTTATTTCGGATTAACATTAATTGTTTATGGAATAAATCATTTTTTCACGCCAAGATTTCCGATTTTTGTGGCTCTATTAACAAACCAGCAAGCATTAATTGCAGATACTATGGAATAAATCTCCTCTTTTTAGTTCTTCATATAAATCTCCTCTTTCAAGGCTCCATATAAATCAGTTATATGATAAAATCTTAACAACATCTTTTCATTTAAATAATTTTCATCAATCACTCTTTTCGGTACCAACGTGCTAAACAACAATTTGTGTAAAAGGATATTCACTACCACGATTATTTCTTCACTTCATTCACAGCGTTCAGAGAAAAAAAAAATTATATAGATAAATTTTAGAATACATCGATAATATAATGCCGCCGGTCTGGGATACACTCGATTCCGTGAGTAGGACAAACAAACCTTATTTGCCATTGAAAGCAGCTCGAATAATTGAAACGCATCACGAACGGGAGAGCTGGAACGCATTCCATATACTGTTTCATGATGAACAGGTAAATATTTTCATTAGTAATATCAAAATTATTTCTAATATATTTATATTATGAATTTCATTGTTCTTCCATGTCCTTGAAGGTTATTATTTCTAATATATTTATTGTTTTATTAATTTTATTATGTTTTATTGTCATTCCATGTCGTTGAATTATGAATTTTAGTGTTATTATATTTGTTATCGTGATATTACGTCTCTCATTCGTTTGGATTAAGTAATATTTACACGCTTGGATTATTGAGTTCCAATTGTTGTTTAAAATAAAATATCGAATTCTTTTTTTCTTTTATGCGCTTAAAAAAAATATTAAGCTTAATCAATTAATCAATTAATTAAATAATATAATAGTGCATTTGGGAGATTCATTTCTATAAATTAATTAATTGTGTTTCTATAAATTGTGTTTCTATAATCAATTAATATTTTATGCGTGTATAAATTTTGTTTCTATAATAAATTGGATTAATTAACTGTGTTTCTATAAAGATCAAGCTTAATGACGTACATCAATTATTATAATGAATTAAACATGTTTCTATATATCTATGAAAACTCTCTCTCTCTCTCTCTCTCTCTCTTTCTATATATATATATATATATATAATCGTTTAGTATAAAAAATATATTTAAAAAACTCTATAAATTGCCGATGATTGTTGATGGGTTTCTTCTCAGATCTGGAACGGTCCAATGAAAAAACGTCCGGATCTGGGACGAACCGGTATGAATGAGCTTAGATCTGATGTGATGGCGCTCGAACCGTTGTTGTTGAGCCGCAAGAACACCTGCAAGAACTCAACGCCGGAGGGGTTTCCGACGTAGAGCCTCCGACGCTCAAGTCAGTATATGAGAGATATGATGAGAGCTGCTATGAGAGCAGCAGCAGTAATGGAAGGGTATGGAATGAATGGGAGTTAGGGTTTTGGGATTACCTCAGTCCTTTATATAAGAGTACAATATATACCTGAAGTCCCCAAAGTGCCCCGGCCGACTTAATGGAAATGTCCAGAATACCCCGGTCGGTTCGTATTCCGCCTACTTCCTAGTCAGCATCTAGATCCTTCCTTAGCTTCCTTCTTATCCTTAACTCTTCTTCAATATGCTGAGGTGTCTCAAAGCTATCGGGAACCACGAACTACAGGACTCCCTCAGTCGACCTGAGATATTGCGTCGAGTCGACTGGGTCGCATTCAACTGTTAGTAGACCCTAATACGTCTGGCCGTTGTCTTACCAGAGGTCGACTTATTCTAGTCGACAGGTGTACGTTGACTCGGTCGAGAGCCGGACTTCTTGACTGAGTATCATGGAACCTTACTAATAGAGTCGACTTTGCCGAAGTCGACTTGGTAGTCTCGAACCGAGATGATATGAACCGCTATGAGCCAATTGTGGCAATGCCACGGTCACTGAACCGATACACGACAGTATAGCTATATCAATTGTAAAACGGAAAACATATCTTCCATGTCGGAAAATTAAATCAAAAAACAATACTAATTCGTTCAAGTATCAGAAATTAAATCAAAAAACAATACTAATACGTACAGTAAAAGGAAATTATATCAATACGAACCAAATGCATATATGCGTTTTTGCTTTATTCAACACGTTTTATACTTTTGCAGATTTAATATAAAAATAGTTTATTTCGACACGATAAAATACAAATGTACAAATCAATAAGATACATTTTGTGGCCGCATATTATGTAAGTTTTTTGGAGTCTACCAACAAAAAAATAAATATTAATATTTCAATTCATCAATTTATTAAAGTTGGACGTAAAGATTAGTATTTACATTCCTATAAAATACCTAAAATCCTACACCATCCAATTTTTATTCCCTTTCAATAAGTTTGTAATTAAAAGCCACTCTCAACAATTAAATTAATTGAAATTAATATATATTAATTGATTCCTATATATATAAATAACATTTTTTATCAACTTCTCCAATTCCTATCCATAAAAAAAAGCATAGAACTTTTGGAAAATATTAAAAAAAATGAGAGAGTTATTTGATACACTCCATGCAGTTAATAAGCAATTCTAATTATTGAGATGAAATTTGACGTGGAATCCAATAATTTTTTTGAGATCATCTTTCAAGATCGTGAGGTAATATTTTAATTTGTTATATCTGTATTACTAATATACGTAATTTTTTAATTTAACTTATTTTGTATAACTTCATATTGTAGGGTGCGCAAATAACTGTCATTATACGTTCTGCGTATATGTGTGCATTTCGAGGTGTATTTAAGCAAGGCGATATATATACACTCAGGAGGTTTTTAATAATGTATAATTTTTTGTCAATGACGATTTTATGTTTACTTTATAAATGTCATACGTGTTATAACTTATTAATAAATGACCTTTTAATTTTTTAAATTTTTTCAAAACATGTACTAGCCCGTGCATCATCGCACGGGTTACATACTAGTTAGTATATCACATAAGAAATCGAAAATACTTCTCACATCTTTTTTATTTTTGAATTGAACTTTGGACCAACCTATTGATGTTAAATTAAACATTAAATTGTTGTACATTGGTATTACATAAGAAATGAAAAATACTCCCATATCATTTTTATTTTTGAATTGAACTTTGGACCAACCTATAGATGTTAAATTAAACATTGGTCCTATAGATGTTAAATTAAACAACCGTTCGCCAGCTCAACTCAACTCATTAAGATTCGTGCTTTCTGATTAACGAGCCAAACCCGACTCAACAAGGTTCGATAGTTTAACTTGTTAAGGCCCGTGTTCGACTCGTTAATGAGCTCGGTTGTAAGCTTTTAACCATAAAGCTGAGCTCGGGTGAGTTTTAACCATAAAGCTGAGCTCGAGCCGAAGAATCTGATATATAGTACAGATAAGCTGGAGAAAACAGTGGTGAGTATTTGCCTGCAAGAAACATAATCTGATATAGTACAGATAAGTTGAGAGAAAACAGAATTGCCACAGAGTGATCTAGCGCATGTCATCCACATATATACATCGAAGAAAGCTGGTTGCCCTGATAGCATTACATTTATATACTGTATACACAAGAGAAAGGGTTCCATTTTTTTGTACACAAAGTATCCTCTTAACACTTAGCATTGAGTTGCTGAGCCAGGCGAAGTATATGACAGGTGAGGGGCACGAGAGTGGCTACATTAAGCAGAGACGAGCTCAAACTCAGCCTGCGGATAATCGCGCTCCTAGCCTGCTTCCCCCCGGTTGGTTCACTCCTACCCTGCTTCCCCCCAGTCGGTTCCTCACTAGTCTCGGTTTTCGACCCCACGACAGGTTCTTCAGCCACAACTCCTTCATCTTTCGTAGCCATACCCTCCTCCTTCTCCTTCCTCATCCTCTCAAACAACACCTACAAAACAAATTCATCAAATATTTCACAAGTACATTTGCAAAAAGTAAAACAAACAACACGGAACACAACCTTGGTCGAACGAGGCTCCACGTAAAACATGTTCCCCAAGACCATTGCCAGTGATGCTGCCAGGTCCAGCCCTCCCAGCATCCCCCGCTTGCTCGAGCGACTCATCAAGTACCCAACCAACGCAGTCCCCACACTAGCCGCCATGGCCCGGAAATAAACCGGGCTAATCCTGCTCTGCACCATCAAAAGCTGGACCTTGGGCAGCGCCTGGGCCAGAACACGGCCCGACCCGAACGTGACCCACGCACACATTCCGTAAGCCACCGCCAGCCCCATCAGGTGCAGGGCAGAGGCCAACGTACGCCACCCGCCCGACAGCATCCTGAACGGCCTCGTCAAATACCCGAAAAGCCCCTTCATCCCCTTCTTCCCTTCCTCCTCGTACTCCTCAACGGTCTTCTTGGCCTTCTCTTTGACCCCTTCAACCTTTCTTCCCGCCTCTTCCCGGGCTCTCTTCGCAGACTCCATCGTGTCGTATGCTTGCTGCTTCGCCCCTTCTTTAATGTCCTCAGCCTTATCCTTTGCAGCCTCTTTCACCCTCTCTTTCGCCTCGGTGACTGTGTCCTTAACTTTGCCGACGGTATCCCCTGTTTTGGCTCCGTTCGCCTCGTTTTCGGCGATAATTCGTTCGTCTTGGGCTTGATGTGTGCCCGGGAGGATAGAGGAGGCCGCGCCTTTTATTTTCTCTTTCGTTTCCTGCAATTTTTCGGGGAGTTTGTCCGTGTGACGGTCGTAGGCGGCGTCTTTTGGAGACACGGAGACCTTGGTGTCGCCGTCGTTCTCATCAACCTCGATCACGACAGAGCTGCCTTCTTTCACCGTGGCGTCGGGCTTCTCGGTGCTCGGAGTGAAAAACCCCGCGGTGACGAGGGATGCGGATAGAAGACACAAAATCAAAGCTTTCAGCATTTTTACTTTATTTTTGTGTGTTTTTTTTGGTTTCTTGTAGTGATGTTGAGGGTATGCGTATGAATGGATTTGAAATGGGGAGAGGGTTAAGTAGATGAGCGAAGATCTACTGTGGACTTGATATGCGTCCACGTAGCATGCAGAGACGCCACGTGGCTCGACGCGTGTTGTCTTGGTAGTGCAGTTTGAGGGCTGAGATTATCTGATTGCCGAATGCCGATGGCGCTAAGGTACACGTGATAGCGCCATGTGGTTTTGGTAAATCATATTCTTTTTTTTTTTTTGGTATAAAGAAATTCTACGAGGGTAAGCCACGCCCCGAAGGTCGTGATCGAGCCAAGCGCCTATCCCAGGGGGAGGTGTCGAAGTGATATGTAATCCTAACGGCTCGGAAGCCGCTAAGTCCGCCATATGATCCGCCGCAAAATTAGCCTCTCGATGCACATGCTCAATCCGTAAAATCCAATCTCTGTCCATCAAGTCTTTAATCGCTCCAACAAGAGAGTCATGGACGCCAAAGTTTCTATCGATTCCCTTTATCATCTTCGTTACACATTGACTATCAACTTCGGCGACGACCCTCCGGAAACCCATCTCCCACGCTAAATCATATTCTAAAACTATTTCATTTGGATTATTATTATTATTATTATTATTATTATTATTATTATTATTATTATTATTATAATTATAATTATAGCACCATGTTGCTTTGTTAAATCAAATTCTAAAACTATTTCATTTGGATTATTATTATTATTTATTCATTCATTCATTTGATGAAAGGACCTTAAATAGGAACAGTGACGGATCTAGAAATTTTATCCGGAGGGTCGATTTAAATGTTAAGTAACGAGTTTATAGTTTAAGTCGAAACACTCATTTCATATAAAAATGTATTTACTATAAATATAAATATTGATACGTGTACCATCAAGTTTTTAAGACCATAGAATACGTATAAGCCTCAAACTTTTAAAAAAATAAACAAAAAAAGAGATTTCATGTATTTATAATTTAAGTTCAATATCTATAATTTATGGAAAATAAGTTTTTTGGTTGAAAATTAAATTGATTTAAATTGAACTTTTAGGCAATATTGCATCACATTTTTGTTGATGAACGAATATTCTTTTAAGAAAAAATAAATAAAGTTCAAAATATGTGATTACACATAAAGAGTAAAAAATCAACAATAAAAAATGTACCAATCTAACTTATAAATATGCAGTTTTATAAATCACTAAATTGGAATTACAGTTAAGAGACCTAAAAACTAAATCATTATAAATATTTTTAAAAGTTTATCTAGAAATTTACATATAAGTATTGTTAGTATATTATTCAATAAATAAATAATATTATTAATTTAAATAAAAATAACAAATATATAATAATTTTTAATTAGTAATATAATGTAAATATTTTTTACATTTCTAATATAAACTAATTTTTAATTAGTAATATATTGTAAATACTTTTTACATTTCAAAATATTTCATATTATTCTCTTTACATACATATAATTTTAATAAATCTTAATTATTAATATATTTTAATTTTTTTTATTTCCTTATATATTTTATTGAATTTTTTGTCTGTGAATATATTTATATATATATATATATATATTGATTTTTTAAAAGAAAAAAGATGAGGGGGCTCGTGACCCCATGTGGCTCCGTCATTGAATATGGTCATTGAATATGAACATCGTGGATGACGAAAATACAATTCCATAATGTGAAAGAATTATTAACTATAAATACTCACTAGTACAACACCCGTGTATTACATGGGTGCTTGCTAATTTTTTTCTTAAAATTTAAAATTAATGAGAAAAAGTAGTTTGAAAATTTAAATACATTTTATAAGAATATATATATATATATTTATTATGATACTTTTTATTTGTGCGACTTACTTGTGTTATATTATACTAATTCTTTAACTTACACTATATAACTACATTAAATATAAATATAACAATTGAGAAATAATTTTATTTTTCTAATGAATTTTAATAACTATTATTATATTTTATTATTATAAAGATAAATATAATTTATTTATTTTATATATACAATATGGATGTCAAATCGAAGATCATCAAAAGATGATTAATTTGATATATTATATATGTAAAACTAATAAGAAATACAAAAGTTATATACTTTTAAAATACATTTATAATTCAATAGCTTATTGAAGGAAGCAAATCAAAATTTAGGGATATATTAGTCACTTAGTGTCTCACTATGTAAAATTACAAATAATTAAAGGGTTATATTAGTAAAACTGATATTAAAATACCTAAGTTAGCTAAATAATATTATGGAATACCCGAACCTAGATTATTAATTATTAATATATTAATATTATTTGTCCAAACCTAATTACGAAACATGATTTTTCGCCAAATAGGATTCCGAAGCACCAGAAGCAGCCACGTAGGCTCAGCGCATTCTGCAATTATATATAGGGAGGATATAGTGTTGGATTGTGAAAGGAACAACAATGAATGTGCATAACTAAATATCTAAGAATTCAATCTTAAGTGCAGCGGATCTAAAGTTAGGACTGAAATCCTATAGTTTAAAATTTTTGTCGACTCTGAGCATATGATAATGATATACGGGACCATGCGAACGAATCACCTTCAGATCTTCTGTAGTATATCTTGACATCTCTCCAAGCTCGCCTTGGAAGTTGACAACTACTTGGATCTTCCTAAGTCTCAGGCGTGTATATTCGTGTATTGATCTTGGGGCAAAAAAAAAAAAAAAAGACCTTGTGGTTTTTGGTTCTCTCTTGTTTTTGGTCGAGAATTTTAGAGTAAATTGTACCCATGAGGCTCTAGGATCTACAACAGGGACTCAAATCTAAATATATATAATTGCTGGCATGTGGCATTTAATAAAACATTTAATAAAACCTCTAAAATTTTTCCTCCACTTTCGGTTACAAAATTTGTCATTAATATTTTTTACTTCTCACATTAATACATCTTAATGAGTGTAATCATGTATTTTTCTATTATATTATATAATAATTATTGCTAATACTAACTAATAATAATTCACAATAAATATGAATTACATAATTATAAATAATTGTTTCAAGTTATGTATTCTAACATCAATATTATCTTTTTCTTTTGTATCTCATAAAAAAAATTCAAAACAATTAGTAAATTGTTTTAATAGCATAGTTAAACAACATTAAAATCTTATAATAGTTGTTTTTATTAATATATATATATATATATATATATATATATATATATATATATATAATTGCTAGCTTAGCATTTAATTTTACCTATTTAAAAAAACTTCTAAAATTTTCCCTCTATTTTCATTTACAAAATTTATCATTAATATTTTTTTACTTTTCACATTAACACATTCTATTAAGTGTAATCATGTATTTTTCTATTATTATATATAATAGTTATTGCTAATAACAACTAATAATAATTAATAATAAATATAAATTACATAATTATAAACAATTGTTTCAAGTTATTTATATTAACATCAATATTATCTTTTTCTTTTGTATCTCATGAAAAAAATTCTTTAAAAAAAATTAGTAAATTGTTTTAATAGCATAGTCAAACAACTTTAGAAACTTATAAATAATTATTTTTTTTAATAATAATAATAATAATAATCAAACTGTTATTATCTAATGATAATAAACAATTGTTCATAATAATAAAATCGTTAATTTATTTTTCCTAATGATCAAATTTTTTAAAAT